TGGATAAATTTTGTATCAATTTTTCGACGGCTGTTACAGTAAAGTTTCTATTTCCGACACGAACTAAATTTATACACCAGGGTTGAATAAGATCTATTTTCATCGGTTAAAATAAATCTATCACCAATATGAGATAAATTTGGATTTTTTTGTGTAATACTATTTATTGGCTCCTGTTATAATAAATATATCGATCTCTTTTTGTGATTGAGTTTTAATATTCTATAATCCTAGGATCCAGCGTGTTTATTACTTTTACTATATATATATATATATATATATATATATATATATATAGAGAGAGAGAGAGAGAGAGAGAGAGATAATAATAATAATGGAATCTCCCGTCGGTTTCGACGTATGAGGATCTGCCAGCTTATTGATTCTGTTATGAATGTTCATGCGTTAATCTTAAGCGGCATTTAAGACCCGCTAGTGATTTACAAAGGAGGCCTCATATGGAGCAAGTGTGAGGATTGTGAGATGAGATCACTGTTAGATTGGTTGACCTTTTAGATCATGCTATCGCTTCTTGAAGATGATTCAGACAAGAAGATTGAAAATTGCTGAGTCCACTAAAACACGTTGATCTCCATTCTACCCGTTCCAAAGCTAAGCTGCTATGTGGTATATTAACTGCTGACAAGTTGCTTTTCAGCTTGTCTTTGTATCTTAGCCATTATACATGTGTGTGAGTGTGTGTATGAATGTATATATATATATATATATATATATATATATATATATATATATATATATATATTAGATAGACGTGATTTTTAATCGTGTCTCTGAGTCCTTCATTGAAATTTTCAAATAATGTGACGTTAAAACAACAACGGTGGACAGATACATTAATCTTGTATAATTTCTTTAACAAAAAGTGCTTTGTGTAGCACAGGGCAAAACATGCCTTGTAGTATGAAGTGTATTTACGCACGGCAAAGCTTCCTCACAATCTGAAAATTTGATAGCTGTCTCTTATGTAAATGAAGATTATTATTTTTTGTTATACAATTTTTTCTTTATGTAAACTAATGTATTTCATATAAATGAACATACATTTTTGCCTTTGTAAATTGTACAGTATTCTGAAGAGAGAGCGACATTTTGTGGAAAGATACCGATAGCGTTGTTCTTTTCCGTTCTTTTTTATTTTTTTTTTCTGTGTAAAGCTTTTCTTAATGTTTCTGCCGTCTTGGAACCCTGCTATTTTGAATTGCGTTCAAAGCCCATAACACTATTCTACGAAAAGTAACTAAGAGGTTTAAAAGGAGCAAATTAATCTATCATGTGATAATCCATTGAAATGAAATACAGAATTGAAGTAAATATCGATGATATAAGTAAATGTACGTTAAAGTTAACATAGTTAATAGCAAATAAAAGTCAATACTTAAGAAAGAAAATTACTCAACAGGAATAAAATCATCTACGGTCCATGGGCAAAACGCAGCGGCAAAATGAATTCGTTATAAGAAGAAGAAGCGGCGTAAGGGCGAGCCAGCCTTCACAAACATTTGCAGCAGCAGCAGCGGAAAAATAACTGTTGTTAGAAAAATATATATTTTAAGATTCCAACATCTAACCTAAGGATTGCCTCATAGAATATTAGTGTCGTGGTTTAACGCACGGGCTTTTCAATTTGGGTATTTCTTTGGTAACAAAGAAAACAATGTTGAGCTGTTACGTGGCACCTGTTCTTATTTACGGCAGCGAATGTTGGACTGTTTCCTCAAGGATGAGAAAGAGACTAGAGGCGACAGGGATATGTTTCTACCGAAGGATGATAAGGATATGATGGACGGAGAACGTGAGCAACGATGAGGTCTTAGAGAGGTTACAAACAAGGAGAAGGCTTATACTTCACATCAGAAAGAGGCAGCTGAAGTTTCTGGGACACATAATGAGGAAGGAAGGCCTAGAAAACTTGATACTCCCTGGTCAAACAGAGGAAAAGAGAGACAACGGAAAGCAGCGTGTGACATAGAAGGCGGGTTTAAGCAAGTTGATTACAGAACGTTTTCTAGGGGAGGAAGCAGAGGGAAGGAACTTGTTGAGAGCTGCAAGGGGTTAGAGGGAGGTGGAAGGGACATGACACATAAAACGAAAGAAATAACTGAATTCAATCCCCAAACAGAACACGAGACACTGAATATTCAGTGGAAAGCTGGCTATTAAAAAAAACTCCAAGTAACCAAGGAGTGATAAATTAAAATATTTTATCTCTGTACATTGAACAAAGGATAATCTAGATCGACAGACTTCTGAATTTTGCAGAGAGCACAACTTTATTGATGAGTTAAATTTCAAGTTACCCAAATTAACAAGTACATTTTTGAATAATTAATTCACGTGCACTTCGTACTGTATTAATTAAGTTTTTATAAAATATGAATGTTTTATTTACATCAAAAATATGATCACATTGCACTTACTAGAATGAAATGAGACATCCCAAGGCATGTTTATTATTCATAAAGTTAATAGGAAATATATATTCAAATTTAATTTCTTTTCAGGATCAAGGAAGTATATCATGAATTCCGTGTATAAGGTTTATCAACATAAATGCAAGACATGGCTGTGTGTGTCCAATGCGATCAAAATGAGGATGTATTTTATGCAGTTGGTTCTCTTTGTCTTATTTTACCGCAAAAGTTGTGTTAATAATCTCCCCTTGCGGCCTATACACATAACGATATTTTTTTTTATTACATAAGCATTGTAATTTTTACTTTGAACATAAGAGAGTTACTCTTTATGTCAATCATTAGTAGATCGATACGCATATATGTACAAATGTAAATAATACAGTTTTCGTTATTTTTTTCAAATATGAATTATTTCCAGTTTAAATCCTGAATGGAAAAATGGATGATAGTTTTTTTTCATGGCATCTCCCGTTAATAACCTTTACAAACGAAACAAAAAAGAACGCAATAAACACGAGAAAGTACATGCGTATGGGTACAATTGCGTCCATGTTTCTTCTTTGCAATCTCCGAGATCAATCTTCGCCTGCATTGTCAGTGAATTGAAAAAAATGGTTGACAGGATCGCGTGGGTTATCTAAATATTCATAAAGCTTGGTTATCCCTGTAAATTATGACCACTGCACATTCAATCTCCGGTGCCATTATCCTCCATATCGCTATCACCTTAGTTACCAATATCGACCGACAGGGGTCAGGACAGAAAACGACGAGAGAAAAAAAAAGTAAATGACAAGAGCGATGTCAGCAATAACAATTAAGACAAAATTCTTCTCTTCTCTTCGATCTGATCTTTATTTTCTACGAAGAAGCGCCATTTTAAGCAATAAACAAAAAAAAGTGACTACTTCCTATTTTTTTAATATTTATTCACGCGACAAAATCGTCTTCTGCGATTTATTTTATTTAATCCTGTTGTAATTTTCTTTATCATCGTCATCTTGTTTGTCATGTATTAGCCTCTCTTTCTTATCCCAATGTACTACAAATGTTGGCAAACTTTCATATTTCTATAAAAATGTTAATGTATGGTTAGATGTGTCCACTTCTACTAGAAATATATTCTTATTCTCAGTTTTCAATAATAACTTGTATCTTTCACAGACGATCAAGTGACAACAAGTTTGTTGATATCTATCAATTATTTTGAAAAACATCATCGATTGGGAAATTATTTTAGAATCGATCACGCCTGTTGTGACCAAGTAAATGGTTAAGTAATAACAAAAACCAGGTTTGCGGATATATCGTATATTAAACAGTAAGTACACAAGAAGAGTATTACACAACTGGTGAGAGTGTATCAAATGAACTAGCTGTCAAACTATTCACTGATCCTCGAAGACTTCTGTCCTACTAATCTTATTGTAGGCAGAAGAGTCTAACATATACTCTTCAGAGAGAGGACACCACAATAACCCAAAAGAGTTTTTAAAAGCGAAAAGATTCATTTTTTAAATTTAATTTTACGCTGACTTTAGTTATACCATCTATTCTATGTAATTTAGGCGATTATGTCTCTCCACATTTACCTGTTTTTTCCATTTTTTTTTTTTAGCACTTAGTAAAAATTTTATTTTTTTGCTATCTCGCCTATTATCTGTTCTGCTAGCCTACCATGCACGTTTATAGACTTCTTTTCTACGTCCCTCTTAATTCCAGTATATCCGGTGAGTGTCAAAAATGCCAATCCATCTCTTCACATTATGTGCTTTAGAGATTTCAACTATCTCGTTATGTTACGATGTATATGTGACATTTTTCTTTCCCAAGAAATAAAGAAAAAAAAAAAAACAAAAAAAACGTAACTCTCACAGATATGCCGTTGCCTCCCTCTGCTTTTTTTATAAATACTTTCAGAGTAACTTCTCCGATGAGCTACTTTCGCTGGTTCCCAGACTTCATGAATTTAAGCGTTCAACTAGGCTGGCATCTCGCTCTCACCCTTTCACTGTCGAAAATGTTAATTGTAACCTTCTCTTCTACTCCAATAGCTTCATGCACTTCTCGCCTGTGGAACTCCCCACCCATTTCTTGTTTCTCTGATAGCGATAATTACCAACTATTCAAATGTAATGTCAATCATCGTCCCCAGATGCCCTGATCTATCCTCTAAACTTCTCTTCATCCTTTCCTATATCATTCCTCTTTGCTCTCGCTACAACTCTCTGTAACTCCTTGCGAGCTAGTGACTTCCTGCCTTGTTTTAGGGTGGAATGCTTAAAAAATATTTGTTTCCAGAATTTGATGTTTTTGACATTTTGTTGATTGAGGCATTTTCTACGGCTTAGGAACATTTTTCAGCCAGGAATTCTTTTTTGGTTGTAATTTAAAAAAAAAAATAATGGTTTAGTGGTTAAAGTCTTACTATTTAACCAATAAATAGGAAAGATAGATTCAAACGTTTCCCAAGGTCTTTTGCGTGAATCTAAGAAACCCAAATGAAATTAGAATTCGGTTTTCCGAGCTATTACTGATTACACCAAACGTACATCCAATTTTATATCACCTAGTATTCCCAAGTGCTCACCTATCTAGGTACCCTTCAGGCTCAACGTTGTTTAACTTCGGTGATCATACGAGTTATGGTGCTTCAACGTGACATGGGTGTAAGCGTTGACGGTATAATAATTCACGATGTATTATATGCACAATGGACTTACTTTGCATCTAGTTGCCCATATTTTTTTTTAATTTTTTATTTTCTCTTTGAGAAGAAGACATGCAGCACTTTATGTTGTATAATTCCATCTGGGCTTGCAGGCAATTACATAACCTCATGAAACAGTGATCGTAATTATTAATTTAAATTTGTATCATGAACGAAAGGAACTATTTAAATAAACAGTCGATGATATCCAATTACCTAAAATTAAATAATCGATGATCCCGCTGTTTTAGTGTTAGTAAAGTTTTATTTTGAATTGATTCAAGCATTCTAGTTATGTAAGAATTTTACTATTTTCGAAAGAAAATAAATCAAGTCAATATTAGACAAAATCACATCTTCTACAGGCCAACCAATTTCAGCAGAGTTTCATATATACGAAACCCACATATGCGCTATAAGGTAAGTGGTTTTCTTGAAAGCAGCTTATAACATGGCACTTGGGCCCAGTTATAAATATATTCGATTTGGGTAAAACATTTTGCTAAGACGGCCTCCAATTGATGTATTCTACAGTATTGGGTGAAAATGATAAATTGGCGTCTTAATTATACAAAAATGAAAATAACACTGTCATCTCATTTTAACATACATTTACCAAAATTACTCAAAAATATCTTGAAATACTAAGAGTAAATTTATTCAATAAAATCGCTATTAATACCAAACACGGCCTTCATACGATTTCGTAATATACAGCAAATCTTGTTTAAGTTGGACTATGCTGCCAAAATATTTGGCTTCAGTTTATCATTGATGTTAAAAGCGGTTATGTTGATCTCTGACTCAACTATGCCAACACAAATTAATGGAAGGGGTTGCGGTGTGTGGGGTTAGGTTGCGAGATTATGTGGACTCAGGAAATTGCCTGACACACATGACTGATATCTCCTTGTGCAGCAGGGTGCACGTTCCGTTTACTAGTTTAGGGTCTTCTATCATCCAGCCTGTTGACGCAGTTTAGCACTACCTCCTAAGAACACATGATATAAGTTTCCGCGTTGAGTCGGAGGCCCCCAGGAAAGAGGAATGGACACATAACGTTGCTGCCGCTATTGATCACTCGAAACATCTCTGTAATCTCAAGTATATTCAGTGAATTATTTCCGATTCCTCTGCACTGTCCTCAGATTGACACCCAAGTATTCTGCAATGTTCGTATTGGCGCTTCTGGCGCGACTGCCAAAGACATTAATATACTTAATGGCGTATCATTAATATTTTTAATAAATATTTTTTACAACCACACACACACACACACACACACACACGCACACACACACACACACATATGTATATATATGTTATGGGGTCAACCCCTTTTTCATACAAGTGGACTCGACCAGTGGGTACTTGAACTGCTGCCGTTAAACACCCAGCGTCAGTCAGAGTAGAGAGAGCAGAGATTGTGATTGAGTTGGAGGTAGAGTAATAGTGTGAGGTAACCGCTTGTAGAAGTCACAGTTACGAACACGTAGACTCTAAGGAAGTCCTACTTCGAGACTCTCTCTCTCTCTCTCTATATATATATATATATATATATATATATATATATATATATATATATATATATATATATATACATATATTATTATTATCATTATTATTATTAGTGCTACTAACCGCGCTTCTGGATTTACTAACCGTATTACCAATTGTATTATTGTGTAAATACATTTATTTGTTATATTTCATTCCTGCGTTTGTCATTCATTGGAGACAGAATTTCATCTTGAAATCCACAATAATATATATATTGCTTAGTTTTGGAGCGGGTAAAATGGAGATCAACGTGTTTTAGTGGACTCAGCAATTTTCAATCTGCTTGTCTGAATCATCTTCAAGAAGCGAGAGCAAGATCTAAAATGTCATCCAATCTAACAGTGATCACGTCTCACAATTCTCACACCTGCTCCATATGTGGCCTCCTTTGTAAATCAATAGCGGGTGTTAAATGTCACTTAAGATTATTGCATAATCTTTCATAACTGAATCAATAAGCTGGCAGATCCTCATACGTCGAAACCGACAGGATATGTGTGTGTGTGTGTGTGTGTGTGTGTGTGTGTGTGTGTGTGTGTGTGTGTGTGTGTGTGTGTGTGTGTGTGTATTCATTATAAAGGCACCTATTGGTTTGCAAATAGAAGTAGAGGACTAATAGGCCAATAGTTCGAAGGGGCAGGCGGGTTACCTGAATTATTAATGGCTGTGTCAAGAAAGGTGGATTTCCAGCAAGCAGGAAATTGACAGCTAGGAATTTATGGTACATTTTAGAGAGAATATGAGACACTTCGAAAGCATAATATTTTAAGGACTATTAAAGGGTTAGCATCTACTATGCATGCTTTGTGGAAATCCATTTAGAGTTGTTAGCGGAAACTACGGAATGAGTTATAAACATAGCACTTGATTACGAAAATGCACTCGTTCTTTTAATGACAATAAATGCAATGTTTGACATGCAAACAAGATTAATGGTTAAAAATCAATATTTATTCACTTACTAAGATTAACGATTAAAATTAAATATTAAATTAAATTCGCAGCGAAGTAGACTTTCTAACCTTTCAAAATTGATGTATTTATAATCAATTCTATATGCGAATGATTGTAGCATTTTTTATTTTTTTTGTATTATACGCGATACTTTTTATTTATATGATTTTGTAGATGCTGGCACGAAGAGAGGTCACTACAATAGTTTTCTGGGTTGCATTTAATAAGTGTTCTGTTTCAATTTCAAGATTAACCGTTGAAATATGATCTCATCTAAATTACGTTCTTATGTACGATTATCGTTATCTTTGTTATTGTTATCACTATGTTCCGTCCGATGAACTCTCCGGCATTTATAAGGCCCATGTCGATCCGTTAAACGTATAGAGAATTTCGAACTGAGATTTGTTTTTTATTGGCGTAACATTGTGATAACAAGAAATATGTGAACCATTATTCACATGGAAATAACTCCTGACCCCAGGAATTCAGAAAAAAAGGATCGGATTATTATATTTTCAGTTCCTAGATATTTTTTTTCATGATACTGTATTTTGAATTTTTTTCTATTTTTAGCCTTTCACTTTTTACTCTTCTACGGAAGCATCACGAATACCAAGTTGGCTAAATTGACATCATTACAATGGCGTAAATATTAATATATATCTACGTTCAAGGCACCTCGGGGTGGGGTAATGGTTTGCAAGCTTGTCTCGCTAGAACAATTACGGCTGAGTAGTGAGTTCAATCCTCACTGGGTGCCCTCTAATTCCGACCTTGTGCCGCATCTGAGCTACGCTTGGAAAATCACTATATATCTACGTTCATGTTAGCTAACATAAATCTTTCTCTATTCAATTTTATCGTTTGTGACTATGAATAGTTTTAAGTGTGCCAATTTCGCTGCCTTTCCTTTGTCTTCTTGAGTTTATCTTTCATAAATACTTTCAGATTTGTACATCACAGATTATCTAACTCCACAAAAAAGTATTTTCACGACCAAACGCGATATAACAAATCTGAAATGTAGATAGAGCCAAGCACATTCTAGCATCCATTTCTAGCGTTTGAACTCAAAGTTATGTATATAATTTATACGCGACGTGTTTAAAGTGACACTTTACTTGAGGAATCGTGGGTATCAAGACCAGAGGCTGTTATATCACTTTCAAAAATTGCCCTCTGGAATGAAAACCTCATTTATGGTTTAATAGTATGATAGCTTTCTAGCCCTAGATGGCAGCAGTTCTAAAAGAACTGCATCCCATTCAAAACGATTAAGATGTCAACGGAAAATCAGTCGGCTACAGTGATGGCAAATCATAGATAACAAAAAAAAAAAAAAAAAAAAAGATAGGGATGGCCATGGTTTTTCTATTTCATGATGCAATTTGGCGTTTGCTATTCTCTTCGTTACAAAGATTGCGCTTATTAATAATATAGTTATTTGTATTTGGCACTATGAGTAACTGGTGGTCCCTGCTAGAAATTGTTCGTGTTCATCGGAACATAGACCGTTCCGTTTTGTTTTAGAGGAACGAGATGAAGAAAATCAGAAAACCTATCCGATTTTAATGAAGAAAATAAACACGCCTAATAAGAAGAAATAAATCTAGGTAAGTAGATAGAAAGAATGCTTATTTATATAGCGTTAATATTGTCATAAATTTATTTTTTAAATAACATGACGTCAGAGTTCAAAATAAAACGATAAAATGAATTTTAAAAATATGTTCTTATTACATTTCAAAATATGCATTATAATTACTGCCATCGCCTCAGATAAATAAATCAGGAAAGAAAAAAGAAATAAAGATAAATAGAAAGAAAACGTTGTCGATGAAAAGATAACCGTCAGGTGTGGTTTCAGTGTTTCTTTTGTTCCACGGAATAAAAACCTTAGCTTTTATTTTTAATTACTTTATTTACCTAGTTAAATAGTTATTTTAATATTGTATAACAATTTAGTCGTGCAATTCCAATGTACAAAGATTTAATATATGGACTCCATTGGACATGTTATAAGTTTGGAAATAGCAAGGAAAATATTCAGTCACTGCATTAAGGATTATAACTCATAAGAAAATTGTAAACAGAAAAAAAGCAAAGTTCCAATGTGTTTTTCTAATTGTTTTACTTTTAAAATACTTGTTATTATGTTGGATGCAGTTTTAGCGTTCTCTCTTTCTTGTCATATAAATCTACTATCACTAAAATTGCATATTCCATGGAGCTTCTTCCATTTCCGTTGCCTCGCTTTCCTTATACAAATAACATAGGTCGTATTCTTTCTTGCATATTACTAATGTTAACTTTGACTTGAAAAGTAATTAGTTCATTTCTTAGCTCCATATCAGTTTCTATGCTTAAATGTAATTACAACAGAAACCTGGCAACGTGCTATAAGAGATTAACTAAAACGTATAAAAGAAAAACGAATTAGTCT